CGAACCATTAAGTCAATCCTGACATCAGGCCTCAGGCAGATGTTACACTTAAGATGTGATTTGTATGTTAATCTCATCTTAAATAGTAACCCAGCCATAGATTCAGTCAATTAATTGCACCACAAAGAGAGAAACCAGCCACAGAAGTATTGCACAAAAAATGTGCAGTATTTTTTGTGGCTGGTTTGCATTGCACCCTAAATTGAATGTATGGCAGGGTGAGGACCATGCCGGAGTTTCCAACCATCCCTGTTGCGGTCCTCACCAGCTGACAACTGGCTGATCACTGGCTGGATCCAGGCCTGTACTGAGCCTTGGTGCAGTTCCTAGAGCCAGTGGATAGTCAGCTAAGCATCAGGTACCTGGTTTTCAACTACTGGTGCAGGGAGAGCCTGGGATTATAGACCCAGGCTTCCCCTGCACTGGCATGTTGGTTGGAATTGGGATCTGATCCCTGATCCTAAAATTGTGCATCTCACCATGCACATGTGGCATGACAGGAGGTGCAGTTGTTAGGATGACAGCCCATTAAAAAATGTCTGTCAGTGGCCTAATTAAATCAGAGGTGTATAGCACAAGCTTTCTTAAACCCCAGCTCACTTCATCAGATGCTGTGAAGAAGTGAGGTCAGGCTCATGAAAGTGTACACTATACACCTCTGATTTAGTTAGTCTATAGGGTGCAAATCTACCATGCCTTATAAATCAAAACATCCTTGAAGACTACTTCAACCCCATTCTAGCCTAGTACTTGGAGACTGGTTTGACATCCATTTGACTGAATCCATTCAATTCCAATGCACTTTTCAGTGGAAATTTTTGATTGTCTTGCATCATAAATGGTGTAGAAGTGCACAGATGACATTATCCCAATTCTCCTTTTTGGGTGAAACAAGGGCCTCTCTGTCGCAATATTTAAATGCACATCCAGATGCCAGTCAATGTATGGCCACTACTTCAGCAGTTAATCGGACAGAAACCAGTTCACAACTGGGAAGTGAATCATAAAAGAGGAGGGACTCATGGAAGCAATCTTGTCAACCCACAAAGTTAAAAGAAAGTGAATCAGACTCCAAAAATCATGGGATTGGTTCCAGCATTCTGTGATTTTTATTAAAAAAGAATTGCATTGTGGTTTTTGGGTCTTTTTTTGATTTCCAAACTCCCCATGCTTGCCCATCCCCCAGCATGTCTGTTGTCCCTTCTTCCAGGTTTCTTGAGTAAGGTGATTTTTTTCCCTTACAAGGTCTCTGATTTCCACATCTTTTCATCACTCAGTCATGTCCTTCCAAACCCCTATAATAGTTCTGTCCCTCCATCTGCTTGCCCTCCACATGTCATATTATTTATGTCCCCTTTCCTTTCCCAGGCTGAGTATTGCAGGGGTAGAGAAGGGGGAATAGCGGAGTAGAAGAACTATCCTGCTTCTGTAAGGAAGGTAGCAAAGAAATGGATGTGCTGCCACCCTGAGCTGCTGGTTTTCTTAATAGCTGTTCCTCTCTTCTCTCCTCTTGTGAAAATATTGACTCCTAAAGGGAAGGGAACAGAGAGCTGTGCCTACAGCTGTGGCCCAAATTGGCTGCCTGCCTCACTTATGTACCTCCTGGGGCAGAACAGCCAATCGGAGAGGGCCAGAGTGTCTTATATTATCTCCAAGCCAGCTCCAGCTTCAGGTCTGGCTGAAATGCCCTGACTTGCCAAAAAATCATGAGTTGGCAATACTATAGAAAGGAGTTTGGTGGAAGGGATGGAGATGACAACTCCTGGAGAGATCAGGCAGTGGAGGTGAGACAAGCCCATTGAGAGATGTTAGCATAAGCACAATGTTTAAAATTACAAGGCCAGTCATGTACTTCCACGATACCCCCACAAGGTTGGCAATGTGAAATCAAATAAAAGTATGCTGGCCAAAAGGAATGCAGCCAAAATAATTCTGAAATGGCAAGTCTTTCAAATACTTCTTTGCAAAAGTGGAGCACCATCAAAAAGCCTTTAAGAGGTCAAGTTTAGCCTTGAATGGTAATTTTCTCTTTGTTTTGTTTGATTCCAACCAGCTTGAATAATGACAAAAAGTTGATATCACAGTTGTAAGGCTGACATCAGGTTCTGAAAAGGGAATCCAGCATCTCGGATTAACAATGGCAGTTCTGTTTTGTGCAGAACTAACAGAATGAAGGTTTTCTTGTCCTGATTCTTTCATTCCCCACACACACACACACACACCCACACACACACACACACACCCACACACACACACACACACCCACACACACACACTTTTGTAGCCAAGGAATCTCAAACAACTTGAGGTTTGGTAAAGAACGCCTTGTACAAATCCTTTCTCCAAATACATAAAAGCTTTTTTTATTCCTACCCATCAAACACTTGTTTTTAGTTGGCCATGCCCTGCCTGCCACATAGCAGAAAAAGCTACTACTACTCCCATCACCACTGACTGGTATTTTTAATTATTGTTTTGTTTGCTCATATTATACTTTTAACTTAAATTATGTCCAGGTCTAGCCGGCTCTTATCACAATAAAATCTCCATAATATTTAGTATTGGTCAGTATTGACTAATTAAAGGCTTGCTACATATTTTATCAAATAATCTGATCGGTTCATCTTTGATAATATTGCCATCTTGCTGTTGCCTACAATTAAATAAAACTTGAAAACATTTCAAATTTAGTCATTTATGTATGGGACCACCTTTCTTAGGTATCACTAAGTAATGACATGCTGTCTCATGGTGCCTAAAACATTCTTGTTCTGCTACAGAAGATCTCAGCAGCCATTAGAGAATGGCACCTTTCTACAAATCTGGCTTGTTCTTGTTTGCATGGGCTGCCAGGCACGGCCACAATTCTTGATGGCAGTTGCCTAGTGGTTACAAGCTGGTCCCAATTGTTTCAGAAACAAAATTAAATTTGCAGTTCCCTCAGTAACGCACTGTGATTTATTCGGGGACAAATCTGGATTGAAACGAGTCCAAGTTTCTCTTCTGTGAGACAGAAGGGAAGTATAAGTAGATACTATAGTCACCCATATGAGTAAGCCAGGAATTCATGAAGTGATTCATAAATCATTATAAAGACCACTAAAGTCTACTAAAAAGGAGTCCTGTCTGGCTATACAAAGTGGTATATTCTCATTGGAAGGGTTTTTAGATGTTAAATCAAATGTGAAATCTTTAAAACTGGCTTTTCATTTTAAGTTTTGAAAAGAGTTGTTTTTCTTCTGTTGGTTAGCTGTTAAAGCCATTTTTCATTGATTAGTTTTCACAAATGAATTTTTGAAAACACAGAGGATGATATCCCACAATTTTTTGAATAATAATAATAAGAAAGATCAGTCTGTGTATTGTTCTTGATCCCTGGCAGCAAATCAATAATCTTTCCATGTGAGTGCTGTACAGAAAGCTATTGCCAGCCTTTCCTCTTTCTCTGGCAGACCTGTAACCCTGCAGTTGTAACACTTTTTAAAAAACCCTTTATATTTTTATCAGGAAAAAATAACTATTATACATTTTTTCTTTTGTTAGCCTCAATTGTTGTCATACATGCTTCATTCCTGTATTTTTTTTTGCCAGAGTATACAGTGCAAGGCTATCCACAACAGTAAAATAATGTCACGTGTTACACTCAGTTACTGAGTAAGGATGTCATCACTTTCCCAATTTGGGGATATATTTCTTTAGTTTCTTCATCATGTACATATCTTAAGGAATAAATTTGCCTTTTTAAGTAAATATCAAAGCTATTCAAAGACAAAACAAACTGTAGCGAACATACATAAGAAATAAAGAAAAAAATGCTACTCAAAGAAAACAAATAGAACGTGCAGTAAAACCTAGAAAGTTCACCCTGAAATCTGTTATAAGATACAGATCTGCGAAAAGATTAGTAAATGAGTTCCAAATAAAATCAGTTATGTAGGAGATGGTTGGTAGAAATCTCTTCCATGTTAAACCATAAAAACTCAAGGCAATTTAATTATGCTTGCTCAAGCAATGCCTCTATACAAGGGTATTCTGTCACAAAATGACTGTAGCTATATCTCTCTACGTATTGTGTACAAGGCTACAGCCTCCTTCCACTGTTACCAAGGAAACAGTGTTTACTGCCAGACAGGTGACATGGTATACAATAGAACTTGAGCATGTGGACCAGGGAGACTAAGTATTGTAGTGTTTCTATGCCTCAGTTTCCCATTACCAAAAATAGACATAATACCTGTTTCCAAATAGCTTAATGTGATGGGAGAATCTCCAAGAGATGTTGGAGTACTGTACTTGTGTGATGATCACTAAAAATGCAACAGAAAAAATTAATTATTCAACAGACTTGAAACCTGAGTCCCCCGTGCAGCTAACCAGCAGGTCTTCTTATGGGTAATGAATACCCCATTGTCCATTAGCCAAGCCATATATCCTGCAGAAGCACAATCAGTGGTATAACTAGGTCAAAGCAAATGGGGCAGCCACCCAAGGCACCAGCTTAGGGAGAGGTGGCAAAAAAACCCAGCAGCTGCTGTTTGCAGTTGCATGGCAAACAGCAGTCGCCACTGCCCCTGTGCCCTGAGTGCCTGGCTGTTACGCTACTGAGCATTGCTAATGACTCATTCCCTCCTAAGAAGGAAGGAAAGATGTTTGTCGTCTGGGATCTTATTGCCCAACCATGTGACAATCCACGCTGTGATGGCTGGTACCCTGTCTGGGTTCTTGTATGACTCTCATGACTGTTGTCTTTGAGCATCTTCTTGGATTGTAATAGGAATTTATCTGATTAAAACTGCAGTTTGGAATTTCACTTGTTATTTAAAAGGTGTAGTGATATTTTATAATTTAAATAACCAGTACTTGGCTCTTCTAAGTGAACACTGTTCTCTTAGAAGTCTCTGCCTGTGTAAGTTGCAACAGCACTTTGATTTAATGAATTAAAAGGAATCTTTGGCTTTTATTTAGGATTGTATATGTCAGTCTGTTTCTCCATTTCTCAGATTTGTAGCTCCTGCTCCTTCTCCCCACCACATCAGCCCCAGGAGAATTTCAGTTCCCCCACCCATGATGCAGAGGCGGACGCCACAGCCTCCCCATCTCCAGCAGACTGCAGGGACGCATCTCAAGACATACCAGACAGCAACAAACCCATCTTTTCAACCAAACAGCATCCACATCCAAGGTAGGAAAGAACCTTATCTTAAACTTAGGAAAAAGAAATTGTTTGCGTGCCCTATCTCATAATGCTTCACTAAAGAGGAGGATGAAATATTTTAAGGACTGGCACTCAAGTAAAGTAATTGAATGCTTTTCAAATGTGCAGTGGGGAATAAGGCGTTCTATTTCTTTGGAAGATCAGTGGGGAATGGGTGACTACCTATCTTGCGTGCACTCACTTAAAATTCCCAGCCTAGATTTTCAGCTTTCATCTTAATCGTGGGCTTATGTGTTTCTCCATGGAATTATTTTCAATGATGTTAAGTATGACTACAAATACTTCTATGCATCGTGCATGCCCTGTTCTGTGTCCCTGACTGCCTCCCAACTGCACATACAACCTGTCATCGGGTTTTCAAGACGGCAGACATTTTTTCTCTCTTGCAGTTGTGGAGTACTGAAGTCTTCCTTTCTCATTAGCATACCCATTCTTTTGAGTTGCGTTCTTATTTGCACTATATAAACAGCTTCTTTCTTCTTCTTTCTTCACTCAGACATGTAGCCAAGAAGAAAATTAGTAGCAGCTGAAAACAAATTTTTACTACTATTGAGTCAGAGCATAATTACCTTAACATGTTGAAAATGTGTTGACATGGACAACTCTCTAATTCCTCTAAAAGTTAAACATGCACTTTCTCTTCTTTGCACAGACAAGTTGGGAATATTTTTTTAATATCACCCTAAATGCTCAGTGTCTGATGACCAAATGTTGAAGAAGAGTGTTTGCAAATCTTTGTTCAAATGCACAGCTTTCAGCTGATTCAACCATGCTTTCTCCCCTTGCCATTCATGAGCATTCATACAAATGGGATTTTCTTACCTGAATGTTAATCAAATGGCTAGTGTGTGCACATGAACAAAGACTGGTGTTTAAACAAGAGTATATGCAATCTCCTGTCCATTACTCTTTGACAAGAAAGAATAAGTATTGCCCAGAAAGCAGCCAGACTCAACTCTTGAAGCATGATCAACTCTTGAAGCTCATTTTTATTTATTCTGCAGCTACCACTCCTTCCCCCACTCTTATGCATTTTAGCCTGGGTGTGCAAGTTGCTTTGTCACAGCCCTCCAAGGTTATGCTTCTATGATAATTGTAGAGACACCTAATCTAGTTTGGGTACCAGAAGCAATGTAGCCATGTTCATAAATTGCTCCAAGCAGACTAAGTAGCCCTGCTGCAAAATGGAATGTACTAACCCTTAATAGGGTTAATTAGTTAGTTAATTAATTAATTAACCCTTCCTACTTCTGGTACCTGATCTAGCTCATTGAGAGAGAGGTCCTGTTTCTCTATATAGCAGTGCATTGTGCCATGAAGCTATATCTTAAGTGGAGAAGTGGTAGCCAATCCAATTAGGCCCTGGGTAATTATTTTGTTTTAGGATCAAGGCAGAAAAAACTTAAAGTGATAGGAAAGGCAATCTGAGAGCTTGTGTTCACCCTTGTGAGAGCCTGTTGAGAAAGTGGACAGTCGCATTCTTCATACTCTTGAGCCTCTGCAATGTTTCCAGAAGCAATTCTAGACACAGTGAGTTATAATAACCCATGAAGGAGATAAATGACTTATTGGACATAGCGTGATCCCTATCTGAGGGAAAAAGGTGGAGATGACAGCTAATTGGGGTGGGGACTACCCCTTTGTGGACTGTACAGTACCAAGAGTCCTACTGTAGATCTATATCACAATATATACAATAACGGAACCTTTCCAGCGGATGACAGGAGGATCAGGGCTGGGTTCTTTGCCACAATTGGAACCAGATGGTCTAGACTTAGTGATGATGACAACATCCCAAGTCTTTTTGCTGATGTGATAAGGTGAGTAGAGAGTGTAAGTGGTCAACTTACACATTGTTGCTGTCAATGTAGGGAGAAAGGGACTGAGTGTAGTGTGGTACTTTGGAGTATGGACTTTGACTAGTATCACTTTGATCTTACGTAGGTTCCATGTGACCCAGCCACTCATCATCTAAAAGCAGGCAACTTGTATTCATATGACTTAACTGTAAGAATTCTTCATGTGCCTGGGAAATATGGGCAGACAGATGGATGTTGTTAGCTTATTATTGGGTGCTCATCAGTTAATTAGCTGTCCACTCATGACCTTATAATCTATCCAAACATACAATAAGATGTTGCTACAGGATGGGAATAATAATTATTATTGATCTATTTAGTCAGATATGGCAGAACAGAACTAACTGATTCACAGATTTTAAGGCCAGGATAGATGGTTAGTAGGGCTCTGCGAAGCTTCAGACCCTGATTTGATTGCAGAGTTCATGCACCATGCCTGGTATATCGAGGTATGTCAAAAAAAACATTTAAAGCTGTGTCTATGGCCAAATCTCTGATTCTCCAAATCAGCATTGAATCTTCAAATTCAGATTTGGCTGAAACAAATCAGGGACGATGATCTGAATCAACTAATCGAATCCCTGGGAAAATACTAGAAAAAATCATTGAAGAGCGTAGTTATGAAGGCCCAACAGGGGAAACAATGCTGAAAGGAAACCAGCATGGGTTCGTCACAGGTAGATCCTGCCTGACAAAACTTATAGCCTGTTGACTCCAAGATGAACATGAACCGGCAGTGTAACGAGGCCATCAACAAAGCCAATCCCAATTGCACCTTGTTATGTATTAGCAGATGCATGACCAACAGATTGCGGGAGGTGATGCTCCTCCTCTATGTGGCATTAGTCAGGCTGCAGTTGGAGTACTGTGTCATTTTGGGCACCGCACTTCAAGAGGGACGCGGAAGATTTGGAGAGAGTTCAGAGGAGGGCCACTCGCATGATTAGTGGTCTCTGTGAAAGACCCTATGAGGAGAGGTTGAGAGATCTGGATCTCTTCAGCCTATACAAAAGATGGCTGAGGGGTGACCTTGTAGCCGCCTCTAAATTTATCAGGGGAGGACAGCAGGGACTTGGGGATGTGCTGTTTACCACAGCGCCCCAGGGAGTAACTAGGAATAATGGGTGCAAACTAGTGGAGAGTAGATTTAGGAAGAAATTTTTTACAGTAAGGGTGGCCAGAGTCTGGAATGGGCTTCCAAAGGAGATGGTGCTGTCACCTAACTTGGAGGTCTTCAAGAGGAGGCTTGACAATCACCTGGCTGGGGTCATCTGATCTCGGTCCTCTTTCTTGCCAGGGGCAGGGGGTTGGACACGATGATCCATTGGGTCCCTTCTGACTATAATCTATGAAATCACTGTCCCCAATTCAGGCCAAATCTGAATTGAATATGGCCCATTTCACACACCCTTAATGGCTATATTATTTAGTCTGACCTTCAGTATATAACAGGCCATTAAGTTTACTTACCTCTGTATTGCACCCAATAACTTGTATCTGGCTAAAACATTGTGTTTGACTAATGCATGTCTTCCAGAAAGCATGCATTTGCAGATACCAAGAGATGGAAAATCCATCATTTTTCCTGGTAGAAAAGGGACTGTCAGACTGCAAACAGATATTACATTTGTCCAGGAATGAACCATTTTATCTCAAGAAGAGTATGATTGTTCAGATACCAATGTCCATTGGCCTAGAAATAAATCCTAAAAAGGTTCATGGGGTAAGAAATACTAACAGTTTATCCTAGGCCATTGCTAAGTGTGTCTGAATGGTAATCCCAGAATTGCATCATTGAATCAATGGCAGAAAAGCAGCAAGGCATTCAGCCACTTAATAAACCCTGATTAGAAGGGCAACATATGTACAGGTTTCCCTCACTTTATGCTGTACATGCATTCCTGGAAAATGGCGCACAACTCAAATTCGCATAAAGAGAACCCACTTTACAATGTAACAAATAGGAATACATTTCAAGACTTTGACTGTACTGACCCCCAGACCCATTTTTATCACTTTTACAAGACAATTTTGGTACTTGCCAACAACAGACAGTACACACAAGCACAGACTAGTGCTTCTGCATGGTTCAAAATCTATCATGGTTCAAAAGCTATCGAGATACTTAGAAGTCGTAATGGGGATGGCAACTACAGAAACACATGTTGCAGACAGCAAGCGAGGAGCACAGATCCATACAGCAGACTATATTTTCATGTGCATCATCCCACACTGCACTGCACAAAGCAGCTGACTGTGGGCTTCCACAACACCAGTCGTATAAGTGTAAATTTACCTCGCATGTAACGAATTTTGGTATAAAAAGGGTCATTGTATAAGACCGAATTTGCACATACAGAATCCGCATAAAGCGAGAGAAACCAGTACATGCCAATCCTAGAATATTTCTGTTCTTGGACAGACACAAGCACAACTCGTCCAGGGACAAATGCAACATCTGTTCCTAGCCTCAGTAGCCTTGGAATGTAAGTCAGTAGAGTGAGTAATTAAGGCAGAACAAGCAGAACACTAGCCTTAAGAGCTAATTTAGAGGGAAGCATCAAAATGGTAGCTGGAGAGAGCCTGCACAGCAGCACAGTGGCCAGTGTGCAGAGACACTGCGTGACAGCAACAGCAGCTGGTGTTCAGGGACCTACCATGGTAGCAGCAGCTTGGCAACCACAACTCCCACACACTCTCCAGCATCCCTACCCAAGGTGCCAGAGTTGCTGGTTATGCCTCCCTCATAGTATTAGGGACCAGGGCGTAGTTGGTCATGGAAGGTTACCTGGTTAGTAGGATAAGTCCAGAAACTGTGTTTATGGGGAGCCAGGAGTAAAAGTCAGGGTTCATAGTAAACCAGGGGTCACAGGACTAGGAGTTAAGACCTGAGTTCAAGGTAAGCTAAAAGTCTAAAATGAAGCCTAAATTAGGCATAGAAGTTGAAGCCAGAGTTATGGGTAGGCTAAGAGTCAAAGCTAGTGTTTTAAGTAAGCAAGGAATCAAGGAACTGTGAAGGAGTACAGAGAAAACACAGGAGTCTTTGCCCAGAGAGTATGCTGCTATCTGTGGCACACTTTTAAAGCCTGGAGCAGGCAAGGTCTGTCT